TGTCAAAATGATTTTTTGAGAAATACTGAAAATTTCAAAGAGATCTTCGTACTAGAAGTATTCTAAAATGTAAAGAATACAACCTTGGGGCTTCAAAATTACCCCAGGACGTACGGATAGGGTTAATAATTATTGCTGTTGCTATTGTTCCCGTCGTTGTTCTCGAAACCTCACACTCTCACTTGACACCAAGTTCAGCCTTGCCGCAGACAGCCAGAGTACACATCAATCTGAACCCGATACAGGACAACCAACACCCGGCACGATAACAAACTCCACCCACACCCTTGGACTCCCGAACAAGGACGTGTTTGCTGTGGAGGTTGGCAAAATCCGGATAAAAATCCGGATAATCGGATGATCCTCAATAAGTACTTTATCTGAATTCAGACTCTTTATTCTCTTTCCTAACCAGTGTGCTGAATTTGAGTGCACCTATTTGTTGAAGTGATGCTAACCTGTTTGTCAAAAAGGTTCCAACCCATTTGCCGAACCGATTCATAACGTAATATTTACCGAAGAAGTTCCCTAACATATTATCCGGATTTTGCTAAAGCGACTTATTGCCCATCCCTAGTTTGCTGGCTCTGTTTGTAAGTGTCTCACGTCCCTCGCAACTCTGCAGAAGGTCACACGGACGCGTTTGTGTTATCTCTGAGTCAGCAGTTGACGCGGAGTGGGCTGATCTCATGGTCCAGAGGTTATGGAGTATTTTTGTTCTTTGCTCAACACCTTGTATGTCCATTCAAAAACACTTTTGTGTGTGGGTTCTTTTAGAAAAACGTTGATTTAATAAGGTATAAAATAATAAATGTACAGTTTCCAGGGACTCTTAAGCTTTGGAAATCACCAAACTTTGGCGGCCATTTCTCGCTAATTTTACTTCTGGAACATGGCGAGCACACCTCTTTTAATTGCAAATGTCTCTATTTCTATTCAAGGTAAATAGATATTTATTTCATAGAAAGCAAGGGAAATGATAAACGCTTTAAGATGACACCAATAACTCCATATGCCCAAAAATGGACGAGTGCCTGATTCCACCCTGTTGTGACGCAAAAAAATGTATTGTAACTGCTTACTGACCCC